ATCATAGCTCATATGAGAATAACAAATGTTTTATGACTGTTCACCCACACACATACACACATACACACCATTGATACTGCATAACACATATACACATATATTTTAACAAAAGTAGACTAATTTTGATAGCCTGAGGTCAAATTTTGATCACAGTTCGTATTAAAGATTTTGTTTTGTTTATTATACATGTTGATGCCTGTTTCTGGATTCACATGACAGGACAAACAATTTAAAACAAGAGATGTACTTTCATATATAAACATACTATTTTATTAATTTATTTATTATACATGTTGATGCCTGTTGCATGACTCATGATTGGACAAAATTGAAGAACATGAGTTGTTCCTTTTATATATAAACCTGTTTATTTTAATTCGATTAATTTCCCTGAAGAAGTTCGGACCAGATTGCCGAACGAAACGTTGGAATTAATCATTTCAATTTCGCTGAGATTTTACAAATATAATTTTATAAATGTCTACTTCTCACTCAGCGCTCAATTATTTTGCAACTATCCGGTCAAATCTTGATCACAGTTCATATGAATTAAATACTAATAGTTAACAAAATTCAACACAAGGGAATTACAGTCAATTTCACATGTTAATAAACTGCATGCAGTAAAAGACACAGTATATTTTACAAACCTAATAAAAACTTAGGTTATAAACTGAGAAATTTGTTAGTATAGTTGACATTTTTGTAGAGATTTTATAACTCCCCAAATCTCTGTTAACCCAGTCATCACTTAAGCTTATCTTCTAACTTCAAATTTCAATTATACTATTTTTTTCCTTCACGTTCCCTAGTGGAACATAGGGCTTCAAGCTAGTGGCTTGAAGTTTCTGTGGCAGTGTTTATTTTACAGGATGGGGTTGCTAGCCTCATGCCTAACCTTTACTCTTTACCAGCATTATTTCTGGCTCAGCGAGGTAAAGGAGTGCGTCGGCTGGGGATCGAACCCCGGACCATGTGCATGGTCGGCAAGCGTCCTAACTGCTATACCACCGACGCACCAATTACACTATTAAACAGAGTTTATTCTGAGAGAGTTACCACTTTTATAAAATTTTTCTACTTTTAATTGAAAATCCATTACAGTAGATTATGTTTGTTTTGTTGATTCAATTAGTGACAGGCATAATTCTCAAAGTCTGTAAAATATAAGCTAAGTAGGTCACAGTTATGACCTAATCTTCATGTTAAATAGCGGAATATATTCTTTTTCCACTGCTTTGACCTGATATTTTAATTTTGCATATCTCTCTTTTTTTACTATCACTTTTGCTATTAGTTTCACATCACTTGATGAACCCCTCATCCCACATGTGACACATTCTTGAAGCATACTACAGCCCAATATATATAAATATATATTTATATTTCCCTGTCATTTACATACTGACGTAATAGATATAAATGACGTATTAATCCTTAAGGCGTAATAATTTTAAGTGATTTGTTTCCTTTAATAATTTGCATTTTTTTCAACAGCATACAGTTCAATGACGTCGGTGTATATAAACTGATTTAAAAATAGGATACACTTTAACAAGAACTTTGGAGAATATGATAACTTCTGTATAAACTGCTTTCGCTTGTTTAATTTTTTCTATTTAACCTGCAAAGCTGAATTTGGCCATTTTCCTGATAAGTTTTGCCTACATTTCCTAAAATATCCAAAATTAGGTTAAGAAGTCCACGGGGAAAGTTAAGTACTAAGAGTGAAGATTACTTTGTGTAACCCTTAGATTTAGCTTGTAATAACTTTTGTAGTACTTTTGAAATTTATCACCATTCCACTTTCTAATATTTATGAGACACTGAACTGTACCTTAGCAAGGTGGTTACGAGTCACGTGTAGTGTTTTCCAGAAACTTCGTATCAGCGAATTTTGACAGTTATTCAAATATAAGAATAATACTTTTTTACCGTACAACGACGAGGAACAATTATTACAAGTTATTACGAACATTTGGTTCAGGATATATTTACAAACGTTTATTGCATAGAATAATAAATATTACTATAGTACCACTATCCATTATCAGTTGCGTTATGTGTAAGCGAATACGAGTAAATTAACTGGATTTTTCTTCCCGACAAGTAAGCCTCTCATTTTCAAATTACATTTGTAATCTACAAATTAATTGTTTAATATTTTCTTGATCAGTGACACTTGACTAAAGAAACAAACAAAACAAAGGTATCAGGATTTCATCATGAATTGACATCGGTTAGAGAACCACTGGAAAATCTGGGAGTGCTGGACAGCTGTTTATTCCCAGTTTGGGACTCTTCGTTGGGATTCGAGCCTAGGACCTACTAGTTACAAGGCGAGCTTGCAGACTATTCAACCACTGGAACCCGATCCAAATGCCCATGAATTCCAACTCCTGCCGATTCCCGATTTAGCGTTATCACTAGCAAATGTCATCGGCGAGTATTTGTCCTCACACTCAACCTGCTGTATCCCACTGGTAACGACTTCTCACTAGAACCCACTTCAAGAAAGGTAATATTATTTACTTTCCTTCATATTTAGAATTACGCCTTTTCGTGCTCTATGTTTTAAAACAGTTAATCCTCCTAGAAGTTGAAGAAATTGTTTTTCCTTGACATTCGAACCGATAACATTTTGCATTGCTTTCAATAAAGAACTAATTCAACGTCTTATATCAAGCGTACTTCACACTGAAAGTAAGATATATTTAGGTATATCCTAAATACAGTTACTTCATCGAGCGATGCAATCATGTCAGTAGGTTGTAGAAAGTAATCTGCTTTTAACCAACGGTACCTGTAGGAAGTTGGCTTAAAATTAACATTCTCTAGCAAAACAAAAACCATACTTTGTCAGAATGGTGTAATGCATAATCTTTCACACAAACCTACAATTCAATGTATGGTGAAAGTTAAAAATACATCAACTAGCATATAGATGAAACATCTATTGGTGCTAGTTTTCAAAAACCCATGCAAATGTTTCTGCAACTCCTAAAAATACCTATACTCTGTTGCATGTGTTCAAGGATTTACCAAATGTATAATTTTTATATAAACCATTTAACAGAATAAGTTAATTAGCTGAATCTTTTAAAGTACATAGTCGTAAACTACTTTGATAGCGGCTGTCATTAGAATGAACACTGCATGTGTTATGTTAATAGCTATAGAAGAACAGTAAATTAAGCCTATTAAAGGTAACTGACATTTACAAATAAGAAGATACAAGACTTGTACTAATCATACATTATTACCTTTGTCTTTGGTTGCACAGAAAACATTTATTTCAGTAGAAGTCACAGTATTGTGGATAGCTGATTCTAGTCTCAAATTCACCACATTTGGGTTGATAAAACTGGATTTTTAAGATATTTTGGTACCACCGAATTAAATAGATAAGGCAACAAGACATTGAAATAGATGGTTGTACGGTTATTTTACGAAATAAATTGAATTTCCGGTCTATAATTCTCCAACATTTTTTGCAGTCAAATATATGCCAAATGTAGCCAAAGTTATCAGCAGCTTTTAAATAAATGTCTAATGCATATAATCTGAATGTCACCCATTTTGGTAAAATCAATAATTTATGGAACAAAATCAAGAATACTGCTTGCCACCTAGATAAACAAAACATTTTACTGTGGATCACTACCCCACCAAGATCACATGTGTTCCGCAAAACTTCACAAACTGCCTGCCACTGAAAAATTTTATTGTGCTATGATGCAGTTTCTGATATAGTTTAACTCTAACTCAAATGACCATTATATGCTACTCACCAGTGGAATAATTGTAGAAGAATTTTATTGCTAATCGGACATTAAAAATGTAAACTGGTACTGACTGTACTCAGGACCGAAATTCTTGATGTTACGGTTGGTCACCAAGAGATAAAGAATGTCAGGTACCAAGTATTTCGTGTCAGTTCTAACTGAATTCTATCAGTTTACTCAGTACTGGGTGACACTGGTTCAAATCTCACACTGCAGATCGATTCCCTAACTGTTACAGAAACACCTTCCTCATGAGTCGTTTCAGCGCCATAATATATCCAATATCCCAAAAATTTATATTTATAAGTTACTAAATTTTATTGCATTATTCAATAATGTTTATAGAACACTAAGTGGACTTGAATTTTAAAAGTAAATGTGAGAGCTGTGAATGGAAAATGCTTAACAGTTACAGCTGGAAGCATTTAGTATCACGTGTTTATTAATATATCTAAGACCCTATTATCCTCTATGAGTCGGTAATTCTGTGGTAGAATGCTCAGCAAACATGCACGGGATCCAAGGTTCGATCCTCGGCCAACTCATTCCTTAAATAAACACTACTTCTACTGAAAATTCAAACCTCCAGCTTGAAGCCCAATGCTTCATTCGGAACACAAAGGATTTAAAAAATTTGTCATCTGAGAATTAGAATTGTTACTTGGCTTAAATTTGTAGTATTCTACAGAAAGTTGATCCGATTTTTGTGTAAACAAAATTTCTTGAGCAATATTACATAATAAATAATGGTAACAACTATTTGTTTACTTGACAATGTTACATTTGATTTATTATCATAGAAAAATGCATATTAGAGAAGTTAATTACCATAAATAAATCATCATTATACAAAAATAACAAAACAAGAGTCCATATGAGTACAGGTAAGCTAGAGTAATACACTAAATTAGTCGGACACATTTTGATAGTGAGAAAACGAACTTCATATCCAAAGTGATATGCCTTCAAGAATAGTTCCGTGGAGAAAAAAATGTGAATTTTGGGACATTTCAGAGGTGAGAAATCCTATGATCTAGTGCGTGGAGAAACAATCGATTACACTAAACTACATTCTTAAATCTAATTCATTCACCATCATAACTAATTAAAAATTATGAAGCAAGATAAGACAGTTAATGTAAAAATATTCAGCTGTTAGTCTGAAACAGGTCTGCTATAGCTCCCCTACGTCTTGTTAAATTAGCAGTAGCTTACCTTTTCTCAAGTGTTTTCAGTGTATTTACAACATCCACATTCTGTTGCATAAATGAAGAAAGTTCAGCAAATTGACGTTTTAGTTCACTAAATTTTGTTTGTAGTTCTACTTTGACTAAACTATCCACAATTATATTGTCTGAGCAGAGAATCTGCAATTTTTAAACAAAAGTATGGAATTATTTTTACATTATTTGACAAAAAATAAATAGGAAGTTAAAGAAGAACCTTCGATAATAAAGCTGTTCGGTAAAAATTACCTTCAACATTTAAAATAATATGATGAAATTTTGCTCTCATCACACATCATAGTTCAGCATTTTTAAGCGGCGATCAAATTCATGATCCTATTAACACAACATCTGACTGAAGTTTCTATTGCAGTACACCGGACTGATTAAATATGCATTAAAATTTTCTTCAAAATAAACGTGATGGAATTTAGTGTAGGTCATCATAAGAAACTGAACTGAAAGACTGGTACATCTAATTAGTTTTCACCTTCATATAACAAGTTTTCTACATAAAATTGTTGGAGACTTCTGTGTTTTCTTTCTCAAAGATACCAGAGAGAAAAAAAGACGGTGTGGTGCTTTCTGGATACATTCATATCATTAGATATACACATCTTGCATTTTCCAGTTATAGTCTGTTTCATTTGTCAACGACAATCAGCCAACTAAGATAGGTGTGATTTAAGAACTAGTTCACTACCTTATCTATTAGCTAATGAAGAGATCATTAAACGTATCACTTTCTCACACGAAATAAAACAGAATAACGTGAATGACGCGGCCAGCTTAAACCTTTTGCTACCAAAAACTCCCATCTCTCTGTTCCATATATTTTTTCTCGTTTGGTTTGTTTTAAATGATTAAGATATGACCTATAAAGGTATTAACTACTCTTGTGTGTATTTAAAATGTTTACAAGCTTCTGTCCCGAAAGTTCCCACAAAACTTGGGGAAATGCCTGATTGTCTGCGGGGGGGAGGAGGACGTGTTCCAGTACATGAAATAACTGTTCTTCACTCTTAAGTCCTTGGGTCTCAAAATGTACTTCTGAACATCATACAACTGGCTTTCAACTAGATATCATGGATTTCTTGAAGGAGACAAAACAGATATAACAAAATGGAATGGATGTGGTTCAGCTCAAAAACCATTCTGTCACAGAATATACTATCAATTAATATTTCACTTGAAGATATTGTACGAAGGAAAAATATTATACAATAAACTCCTCTGAAAGTTCCTTACATTTTATAAATACTGTCCGGAATAAAGATATTAGTATGACTGAATATTTCAAAATCTATTTTCAAAAAGACATCGTTTTCAAACAACTTCCCATAGCCAACACGTCAAAGAGTTAAATATCACAGTTAGCTCCCAAAAGTATTTTTTTCGCATAGTTAGAAAATTTCTGTTACTCCTATTTCCGTCAATATTATTTTTGCTTTGAAATTGATATTACTCAATTGTCCAATTAAGTAGATACAAGTATATCGCTCAATAAACTGCACTTTGTTCTAATGTAGCAGAATTCCCAATGAACATTAGGATGAATGAATATAAGCATTATAAATGGAAGGGTACTACTGTCTCTTCATTCAGTTCGCTGTCCTTTCTCATCTCTATCTGGTCATAGAAAAAAACAATGTTCTTTGAGATTATCTGGAAGTATTATAATTTTATGCGTGGTAACTTTGATAGCAGAAGTATGCACTAAAAATACTAGCCACGAACTTCAAGATAGTATTTGCATGCATATCAACAGATTCCACAAGAAAGAACAGAAAGTCACTATACGATGACTGCCTATTCAATTTTTCACAAAGCTTCTGGAAAACTGAGGCTCATACAATAAAGTATTTTGAAACACTAATGTAAGTTTTAAAGAGTTTGGTTTCTGAGGATGGAGTTCCCACCAATGACATTATGTGGTGGTCACGCTAAATCACAAATTTGTAGAAGTTAGAATTCATGGGCTGGCCATTGAATCGGGTCGGGTCCCAATGACTGAATGGTATACGAGCTTGCCTTGTAACCGGAAGGTCCTGGTTTCGAACCCCAGACGGTGCGTACTGCCGATGACTCCCAAGCTAGGATGAAACAGCTGGTCACCACTCCCTGGTTTTCAGTGGTTCTCTAACTGGTGCCACTTCATGGTCAAACTCATATAATCTAATGTAAGTGTACAACTTGGGAACTGGTAGAATGCAATTCCATATTATATAAGTTTGTTTTAAACATCACACCATGATGCACTATTAACAACTGGATGACGTTTTGAGCATCAGTTATTGCTCATAATCTTATCAATTTTAGTCACACAGTATTACAGTTTATCTTAAATATATTTTCTCTCTTTCTGTCTATCCAGCTTCCCTTTATTGTTTGTTGTCACTTTCCATATCTTCGTCATAGGCGTTGCGTCATTCCGACTGCGCGTGAGCGGTGTTGAATCAGTAAACAAAGCTTCAGTGATTAACCTCTCCCCCTCCACCTATGTTACTTTTTAATACCCTCACTCTGTCCCACCCTATCTTTAAATCCCATGCAAGTGAATGCAGTGCAGTGGTTGAGCTTTTTTCTAGGCTATTTATTCTCGATTTGTCTAAATCTTTATCTTCCAATATTCTAGTTGACCCCGAGCTAGTAGTTTGACCTATGTAATTCACCTTACAATCATTGCATTGTATCTGGTAAATTATGTAACTCTTCTTAATAAGATACGTTGGGTCCTTAAGTTGACAAAGTTTATCTCTGAGAGAGTTGGTCGGTTGGTTTAATTCCAGTCTCCCTGAGAATCCTACGTAAGGCCTCTGACGTTCATTCTTTATATGGCAGTACAACAGAGACTTTGAATTCCATATTATTTTCGTCATTTTCTTCATTTTTATTACTAACCTTAATTTTTCTATGGTTCTTCATGCGTTTCTGAATAAATTCTGGTGGGTAGTTATTCACTGGTAATATTTTCTTTATTTGTCTGATTTCATTAATAATATCTTCTAGCTTACTATTTAGATATTTAACTACACCTACGTTCACCGATTGTGGATGGAAAGAATTAAAGTCTAAGTATTTGGATTGGACACTAGTAACTAGTGTGACGTGTCTAGTCCTTTCTTTGGTGCAGACTGAATTCTATCAGTCAGGTTTTGCAATGTGGCCACCATTCTATGTAGTTCACCTTCCCGGTGCACATTGATTTGATGATATTAGATAACTGGAGGCAATCGGCAGAAAGCCTTGGACCTAGGTTTCGGGCTAGTTGGTACTCATCATCTCAGAAGGGAAATGAGTTCCTTCAAGGTTGCAGATACGCCCTGCTGATGAATGCCAACTAGCACAAAACCTAGGTCCAAGGCTTCCTGCCGATTGCCTCCAACTATCTAATATCATGAAGTCTAAGTATTTATTAGAGTTATCGGTTTCCTTAATAAAGTGAATCAAGACCATATCCCACATTTAGCTAATAAAAGCGTAAATTCTCCTCACTTCTGCTTTTTAGTATCTATACACGTAGGTCTATGCCTGGGTCTATAGTTACCTCGAGAGAATGTTGGTCTAAACAAAACCAAGTGTACAATCAACTGAATCAGAAGCGTCGCAAACGTTTTAAAGAATGTGTTATTACTATATTGTTTACCAACAAAATTTAGACTCTCGATAACATCATTGTTTCAGCTGAAAAATGGATATCGCATCCTATGAAAGATTCAAAGATGTACATGGACAAACTATGGCGAAATTATAGCTGGCTTATCGTTGAGGCGACATTTTTTAGATTTGAATTGAGAAATGAACAAAGTGTGAACAAGCAATAAATTTTTTTTCAATTTTTGCTGTCTTTATATAAAGTACTAGTGAAAGATAGTAGACAACGAAGTATTTGTAAGGACTAACTAACATACCGTGGTGAAAATCGAGGATAATCAGTTTAATACTAAAGTTTAAATCTAATAACAGGATTTATTCTTTCCGTGTGACAGTCAAATGAAAACGGATGGAGAAAATGAAATGTTATTCAGTCCACTAATACTCTAAGTAAAAATCAGGGAAGCTTTAGTAAACATGTGATAAGAATGATTAAAGAAGTTAAGCAGAAAAATATGACAAAGGATAATCCATTCGAGGTAAAACTAAACACATCAGCTGAATTATAAGAATAATGAAAGAAATTAAAAAAGGCTAACTGGAAAATTTATCACTTTTCAAAGTGACATTGAAACTAAGAAATAAACATGCAAAGTGACATCTAAAACGAATCGACTGATTATTTATAATGAAGCCTAAGAACAGACGTTTTTGGATGCAGTATGAAACTGAAGTCTACAACCATGTCCACTAAGAGTTTAACGAGTTCATCAGTGTCCAATTACATGGACATATTAAAGTTTTCCTGACAAGAATTGGGCAAAAACCTAACGCCAAACAAATATACTAAAAATAGTGCGGATAGATTGGACACATACTGAGGAGACCGATGAATGACGTCACACTCCAGGCCCTCAAGTCGAACCAGAATGGTAAAAATGAGCTGATCGTCCGAGAATGACATGAAAGAGATCGTATGGTAAAGAGATGAGGCTTATGGATCATCGTGGAGTCATCTAGAAATGACTCCAGAGAATAGGGTGAAATGATGATGTGCTGTTAGGGCTCTATGTTCAACTCGGAATCTAAGGCAATAATAATAACAAGAACCCTCTTATGCACAAGGTGCGTTTAGCTAAAATAGTTATTCATACAGAGCCATATCTGACATGAAACATAATTTAGAATCCATATGAACTGTGATCAAGATTTGACCGAATAGTTCCAAAATAACTGGGCGCCTAGTCAGAAGTAGACATTTGTGAAAATTATATTTGTAAAATCTCAGCGAAATTGAAATGATTAATTCCAACGTTTCATTCGGTAATCTGGTCCGAACTTCTTCAGGAAAATTAATCGAAATTAACATAACAGAGGTTTATATATAAAAAAGACATCTCTTGTTTTTAAAAACTTTGTCCAATCATATGAGTCATGAAAAATGTATCGACATGTAAAATAAACAAAATTGTATGAACTGTATATAAGTTTGTTCCATAAAATTTTTACTACGTTTCGCTATTTAATACATAGCTTATAATATTTATAATATTGTACGAACTGTGATCAAAATTTGACCTCAGACTTTCAAAAATAAGTCTGCTTTTTTAAACACTTTAAACAGAGTGTACTTTCCATCAGATTGCGTTCGACTAAAAGTTCATGGTCGTAGATAACTGAATATGAAAATATATGTGTTGATGCAGTATACAATGTTTGTGTGTATGTGTGCATGGGTAAACAGTTGTAAAACATTTGTTAGCTATTCCATAAGAAAATATAGACAATTGGGAATTTTAACAAGGTATGATTAATTAGTGATACAAATCCATTTTTTATTTATTAATCAGGATTCACCATGCATCAGCTAACATCACACCTTCACGTCTGTTCAAACTGTTGGGATTCACCCATATATGTAGGGCTTCCGCAGTCAGTATTTCTTTATACGAACCAAAACCTTTCTGTTGAACCTTAGTCCTATCAAAGTCAAGTTTGTGTCCCATTTCTATCGAATGCAGTGCAATCGCTGATCTGTTTTCTAGCTTCTTTACCTCTGCAGAGGTCTTCGGAACCACCTTTAGACATTTTTATGCTCTTTCACTCTTATATTTACCTGTCTGGAAGTTTCTCCTACATATAAGGCATCACAGTCCCCACAATTGATCTGGTACACACAAATCTGTTGGTTTTTTCTTCTATTTTATCCTTAACCTTCACCAGTGATGAGCGTAACGTGTTAGTTGCACGAAAATACACTCTTATGTTATGATCGTTGAGGATTCGCTTTACCTCACCCGATGTTTCTTTGCAGTAAGGAATCACCACTGTACTAACCCAATTCTTAGCAACAGGTTTCGATCCATCCTTATCTTCACATTTTAAATATCTTTTTATGAAGGCTTTAGGATAATTATTTGATTCAAGAGTGGACTGAACCAATTTTAGTTCCTTGCTAATCTCTTCCTCCTCAGTAACTAGACATTTGGCTCTGTTAATCAGATTCTTGGCCACAGTTACTTTGGTGGTAAAGAGGTGTGCTGAATAGTAGTCTAGGTATCTGTCCGAATTTGTCGGCTTTCTAAAAACGTTTATTTTAAATTTACCATCTGGTTTTTCTTTTTACTAAGCAGTCCAAGAACGCCAAATCATTCTCGTCGGATTCAACCTCTTTGGAAAATTTGATGGTTTCTGACGTATTGTTTATTAAGTGAAAAAGTTCATTCAACAAACTACGTCTAATTATGAAGAAGGTATCATCCACGTATCTTAACCACATTTTTGGAGGACTAGAGCATCTCATCATTGCATTTGTTTTTAATGAGTGCATAAACAGATTGCCGACTAGCGGAGATACTGGTGATCCCATAGCAATGCCTTCTGTTTGACGGTAAAGAACCCCTCTAAATGTAAATAACGTGAAACATAGACACAGTTCCAATGCCTTCATAATTTCGTCTGGATTTAAAGGACAAAGACCACTGAGTTCGTCGTCAGAACAAAGTAAATTAGAAATAATACTTAAGGAATCATTAACAGAAACATTCGTGAATAATGAATAAACATCGAAACTTGCCATTACTTCATCTTCTAGTGTGCAGTTTACCTTCTTCCGTTCGTTTTATTTTACAATCTAACATAGCTAATTCTCCTTGTTCATTTTCCTATTCAAATCTTGCATTTGATAACGTAGAATTACCTTATATAGAGGAATTGTGATTAAGTTACTGCATATAAGCCGAGATTTCTTAATTCTAGTTTACTGTTACTCTGATAAAGCAATTAGCACTAAGCAGCGGAATAAACATGATATACCCAGTGCCTAAATATTTGGGGATTAATAAACTTGTTTTGGATATATAAATCTATGTTTCATTTGACTGTATTTTTTCACTCTCTGTTACAAGGGAAAGGTGCTTAGCGCTTGCACGTTTTGCGAATGAGGTTGAACTAAGACTCATTGAAGAGATTAGTTGCTAACCTCGTCTTGCCACTGTATAAGGTAAACAGGCTTACAATTCCTTACATACAGATATATACATATATATATGCGTCATAAAATGGACTGAAGTAAACTAACATTACTCTCCTTCAAACTAACATAAAAACTATGCCACAAAACTATAAAGTATATTTTGTTTCAAAAAATAAAGATCCGACTGAATTCAAACATGAGGGGAATTCAAATAAAAAAGATTATGGTTAAATTGTTAATAAAACTAATAAGAGGAAAATAATTTCTAGTCTTGTTTCACAAAATTGTCATGAAAATATCCTGTCAGTAATATCAACAAAGCTGACGTTAAAAGCATGGTAAAAAGTCTTCGAAAAACATTTTGAAATACGCATTTGCTATATCATGTTGAAAAAAATAAATACATAACTCACTTCAGGACAGTCACAATCAGGCGGAAGGTATTCAGTGAGTTGCCAGTGTAAAGGGCTTTGCCTTCTACTCATATTCTGTACAGTAATTGCCACAATGGTATCTGGAGAAATTTCTTTCACTTTAGAGTGGAAATCATGTATGTTACTCATCAGCTGATCAAACTGAAAGTGAAACAATATAATACACTATAAGGAAGAGTACAAATTATTGTAACATCATTTAAGAAAATAGCGTTTAATATTCTTCAATGCTTTGCATGATGATGCAATGAAAAAACTGCTAATTTGTGATAAAATCTTAGCAAATGCTGGAAAAATTTAAACATCTGAACACGCGTAACACTACTTAAATATTTATCATTTGGTTTAAAGTCATTTATTCAATAATATTTGTGACAAAAGTACAATCGATGAAAGGTAGCACCAACCACTATCCATGGGAGAAATTTCAAGGGAAGTCACTTATTTCACCTATCTAGATACGGAAAAGGGTGTCAAAGTCAGGATCTGAAAAGCAAGATAAACATTTGTTACTCTGGACTTAGCATGGAAGTCTGCTGCGATCAGCATAAAGAACAACATTCGGATTTTCAACACCCAATATCAATTCAGTTCTTCCGTATGATTCAAAGGCTTGATTCCCACTTCACGAGAAGTATTTGCCACAGAATTCGGAGTTTATCAGCAGCCCACTATACTGAAGATAACCTGAACAGAAAGGACTAGCAAAATGAAACTATGACCACGAGCTATACAAGAACCTATCGCTGAACAAGTACGCTGAAGAAAACGGAGGTGGATTGGAAATGTGCCACAAGGCTGTCGAGTGGAACCGTGCGTCAGGCTCTCAAATGAAACCTGAATGACGACCCACGAGTTGGGCGTCCAAGAGTGAAATATTTGCGATACTGTTAGGAGGAAATGAGAGTTTGTGGGCAGTCGTGCGACTGGCTTGAAAGACTAAAGATGAACTGATAAATATCATGTTTAGTGACACAGAACAACATTGTTTAAACTGTTTGGCTAGAATAATGTCTTCATTAAAGCACTGATCACAACTTCAATCATAACTTTTTATTTAGTTTATTATCAATAAGTGAGTAATGTGACTTAGAACATAACGGACATATCCTTTTTGTACTAGACTGAACATTCGATATTCAACATACTTGAATCTCTCATCAATACGATAAAATTGAATTCGTTGTGTTCTCTGAGATGGTTGATTCAACTGTGAAGCTTTCGTCGTCCTTCTAGACAACATCTTCAGGGCAGGTTTTAGTATGCAATACAATGCAATAAAATCCTGACCTGAGATATGTGTCGTCTCATTTTCACTTCCTAATAGCTTCCAATGAATATATTGCTCGGATAGTCCCAGATTACAGCGAACAGAAGAGGCTATTTGTGCCGCTGTTATTTGCTCACAACTAGTTGAACAAGCACAATATCCATTATCATACATAATAGTGGTTATCCTCTTGGCAAGCACTACTGGTTAATTTTTATAAATACTCAAATTAATGAGCAGTATGTGTCACTTTGATCATTTCGCTTGCTTTCTTGTTACTGTTTATCATATCATGAGGATGAATTATAGTGCTTCTATAGAAAAGACTGATCAAATGTTTCTTTTAAACTGTTTATTTTGCAAATGACGGATCATATTCCAGTTGTGCTGCTTTGGATGGAAGAAATGGAACTAAATTATTAGAATTTGATAAATTTATATATAGTGATAGATAGGCTTACCTGAAATAGCACATTATTAACATCTCATTTTTTATCCCCATGTTATTTAGTAACTTTATTACACTTTCAGTTTATCACTTTCTAATGGCTGTTATTGCCTGCCTAAACTATATTTCCAACAAAAGTCATATTTTTGCTATGACATATTTGTAAAATCCTGGGAACGACATGGATTCAAGCAAACTTTCACCGCCTGACTAAGAAGGTTTGTAAATTTATTCCACTGTCTTCAAAAACGACAGTTCTTTCGCATCTTCGGTGTTATGGCGTGCATAGTTTTCTGGTGTAAGAATCATTTGGAATCTTACTGTGAATTTCACATCTGAATATATATGTGGCTACATATTTTCTTGATATTCGCCTATTATATTTTAATTTAAATTCAGTGCTTAACTTTGAAATTAGTTAAACATTGAAACCTGAATAGTATTTCGATGCAAAGTGAACAGTACAGATGGAAAACCGGAAAGTTAATTATCATGTCTACTAATAGTGTCGCTGGCACAGGGGTTAAGACGCTCGCCGACAATGCACATGGTCCGGGGTTTGATCCATGGCCGACACACTTCTACACCTTGCTAAGCCAGTAATAAGACTGGTAAAGAGGGAAGGTTAGGCATGAGGCTAGCAACCCCATCTTGTAAACATAAACACTGCCACAGAAACTTCAAGCCTCTAGATGGAAGCCCTATGTTCCACTAGGAACTTGAAGGAATAAAACTAACTAATTTTATATTAAAAGAACAGGTAAAAGAGTACCCTACAAAATACCTTCCTACCCTCTGGACAAGACCACTGGAACGATATTAGACTGCATACTCAAAAAAATGAGCAGATATATGAACTAAAACCACAAACAGATATGTTCACCAGAAAAATAAACAGTGACACTGAAAATATTGAGAAACAAATCAATTTTATTTGTGTACACATCAACTCATCACAATGTGGATTCTGTTCTACCCCTCAAAATAAAGTGAAATACAAACAAGACCACTTACCATATTTTCATGAAGTGAACCAAAGTAATCAAAAATCTCTCTAAATTCCGTTGTGTTCTCTTTGATTATTGTCTCAAACTCCTGTTTTTGAAAAAAAAGAATAAACAACTACTTATTCATTTGCATTCAGAATAAATTACTATGATGCGTGAATCAAACTCATTTAAAAATAAAGAAACAACGTCTTATCCAATAAAAATTATTTTATCTTCTGATGTAATGAAATATCTAGTTATATATTATTCTTAAAAGTTTGAATAATAGTATTTATGTGCTAGCCATTGCTAGTTATATGTATGTAAGGAAACTAGAAACCCTTTGTAAGGGGAAAAATATTTGGAAAATCTCTCCGAAACGATCAAACTGCAGCATTATAATTATATGGATATTTCAACTAACTTCACACTTATTTTCCTCTTTTCTCCTAGGTCCTATATAATTGTTCTGACCTTTGCGTATCATATGTTCACATAATTCATATTATTAGTCTCTGTTCCTATTTACTCTCTAATTTTAATGCTTCTTGTTTGCGGCTGTGCGATGCACTGATAATGTATTGTTTCACGATGCAGTTTTATTTGAGTGAGCTAAGGTCATTCTAACTTTGGACTGTCTGAAGGAAGTGCTTAGTGTGTGATTCTTGCTGACAAAGTTTTGGTCCCACTCTTTTCTAAATATTCTTCGTGATTTTTAAGTAATTCTCATGGTTGAATTGGTTAAATAATTTTTTTGTACAATGCTTGATTTGTTCTCGAGAAAGAATTGAATCTGTGTAGTGGCTTAGTGGCACTGTTGAGGTAATTTTCACTTTTTAATATGTTGTTATGGCTAAATAGTACTTCAGACTTTATCGCAAATAACTGTCCTTTTACTATCTTTGGGGCCTTTTGTAACTATCCGTAACTCAAGGAAATTTTGGCCAATTAAAAAGCAGAATGCGAATACTAGTTTCCTGAATTCCCGCCACAACACATGAGTTTCAATCTCTAAGCCCTCCAGTGAATTAACATCTTATGATGAAAAAGTATTTTACCTTTTGATTTTTGAGATCACTTTAAAGGTTTTGTGATACTGTGCCATAACGAATGCCAGGCTAAAGAGAGGCCATTTTGAGATTATTTACTATGACACTGATTAGGTCCACTAAATAATTACTTCGCAATAGTTTCACAGTTCTTAATAGCTGTGAACCAAATGTTTAGGAATCCAACATGTTTTACTTTTTATAGAACAGAACCTGATGAGTGTATGTATGCAAAATGATACCCTAAGTCCTTCAGCTTAACAAAAAAGTTAAAATTGTACTCACTTGCATAATCTGTGGCAAAATTAAATTATGATAATATTCTTTCATTGTGTTTGTCATATGCAACTGGAGTACATAGGAGTTATGTGCATTTAATAGATCTTTTATGGCTTTAGTTTGTAAAATTTCACGGTGAACTTTGTACAATTCTGAATAATTACCATGTAACTAGGAGGAAAATTTGTTGAATAAGAAAAAAAGCTTCATATTAGAAATCAACAGTAATTAAAATGAAGGAAAATTCTGCTTAGTCATTTCATACATTAATAGTTTAACCTATGGAGACACCACTTTTCAGATATATTACAAACATCATTTTTGATAAGTGATGTGAATCTATGGTCTCAGTTCACTGGAGAGAGTCAAATTCTTTTAAACTCTCACTTCACATGGTATCTTTATTTGAACATTAATCCGAAGTGATCACAAAATACCTGTAGGTTGAATTAGGCTTCCTAATCTAGCACACAAAAAGCGATATATAACGATGAAAACTCAAAAAAATCCATTTAGGGCTTGTTTTTTAATAAATTATCAGTTTCTAAAGCACTTCTCGGAAAATAATTCTTGCTTGAGAATCTATTTGAACCAGTGGCAGAAAATGAACAATATCAGTCATCACCCATTATTTAGATTACGATATTTCACGATACAGGTCATATTTTCAAACTCCAGTTCCTACTTATGTAAGCAGTGTTGCATTTATTTAGTTTATAATGGATTCAGGACATTGAAGACTGACCTGTAAGTTCTAGGTTAATTGGCTAGAAATCTCAGAAACACTTAAGCTTCCTACTAATGTCTAGTTTTTTCCTTATACGTTTATACAGACAGAAGTAAAGTACTCGCTTTTGGGAGTGTCTTACTAAATTGTCCAGGGCAGCAATTTCGCCTTTAAAAAATACAATCTCAAAAGAGATGCGCCATGCATCTATTAAAGGAAAACAGATTGGGTGTGTCAAGTCCGAAACAGCAGTAATATGATATTTTAATGCTTTTTAGTAATAGGTATTTATGAAGTTCATTTGATTGACTTAAACGAGTCCAAACTCAATTCATAGAGTCCTTAGCGAATTATTTTAATGCACCATTTGTAAAAACTTTATAATATATGCTGTTGTGAGAAACAGAAAGTCCATGAAAAACATCGGAGTTTACAAAGTCTAAGTAAACATTGTAGAATTGGATAGTTTTCATGTGTGTACATATTAAATTCGATGAGGTGAAATGTAGGTGAAAAAAGACTATGGTATCAAGTACTCATAGTAAATTCATCGGTTCTTTTATCTGTTAGGAAAGTTGATATCAAGTTTATGCAGTCTAATAGATATACTGTGATGTCAAAATGCGGCGAGAATATTTTCAGTGGAACATTATGTCATCATCGAATCATCATGATATATAATAACAGATTATCACAGGTCATTTCCATCTGTAGCCTAAAGGAGACAAGGCTATTATTTACCAATTGCAATAAGTTTATTAACAATATGTAGCAAGACAGAGCTACGAGCAGATGTTGTTAACCCTTTTCAAAATCACTGAATTCGATGTTTCAAGGTCTGATTATGAACACTCTTCATTTCCAAGTGAATAGTATAATTTGTGATTACTCTGACTCCACAAGTCAAGCTGTTTATATTGCAAAATCACAAAACTAAAAGGATCAGTACACTGGGTCACTGAAGCTGGTTTTCTATGTTAACGCCTTTGTATTGTTCCATCATTACTGAAATGATGTGTAATCTGTGGAATACTTGTTTATCTCAAAAAAAAACTAATTAAAACTTATTTACTGAAACCTTAATGTCCTCAAGTTACTTTTTTATAGAATTCTTTGTGCGGTATTATTAAGCGAAATAGTCAACCATTTTTATATTCAAAACAGCAAGTGTTCGACTGGCTGTCCAATGAGTAGAAAACTCTGAACGCTAATTATTACAGCTTAGTGTCTGAATTCTGAAAACTTTTCAAAATTTTTCATGGACATTTAAAATTTCAAAAAAAATGCTTTACTGAAGTTTATAAATCTAGCACAGTGTTAGAAACACTAAATATATATGACAAAATATTTTTTCATCAATGAAATTGGCAGATATGAATTCTCAAAATAACTCCAGTAGGTCGAATAAAGCAGCTCAATCTTCAGAAAGAAGACAAAGCAACAAGTTCGACAGGGTGCTTCAACTAAACTCTAATCCTAAACACCATAATTTTGAAAATACGTCTAATCATAAAATTCTAGATACTAACAGTTTGAACGGACATGAAGGCGTGATGTTAGCTGATGCATAGGAAATCCTTATTAATAAATAAAAAATGGATATGTATCACTAATTATTAATACTTGGTCAAAATTCGCGACTCTCCATATCTTCTTATGGAGAAGTTAAGAAATGTTTTACAACTGTTTACCCACACACACACATACACACTCTGTTTAAAGTGTTTAACAAAGGTAGACCAATATTTGTAAGTCCGAGGTCAAATTTTAATCACAGCTCATAAAATTTTGTTTATTATACTTGTTGAATGACTCATGATTGGACTAAGTTTTTAAAAACAAGTGATGTTCCTTTTATATATAAACCTCTATTATGTCAATTTCGATTAATTTCCCTGAAGAAGTTCGGACCAGATTGCCGAATGAAACGTTGGAATTAATCATTTCAATTTCGCTGAGATTCTACAAATATAATTTTTTACAAACCGTGCATGATTTATTACAAGTGATTGTGTCGTAGCTGGAAGTAAGAAGTTGTTTTATCAATTGTACATGCCTAGTTTACTGAAATTCGCACAAGACCATTCTGCCTCAAATTAATAATAAGTCTACCCGCATTGTGTATCAATATGAGGTAGTCAGCGAAAACTTTCGAAACTAAACACTCCTTTTAATTATGATACTCAGTTCTCCAACTACTGCAGAACTTACACCCCCCCCCCTAAGTGTGCGTGTGCAAGCATTTTATCTGATGAGTAGCGAAAATTCAGGGAATATCACTTCTTGATTAGAATACAGGTCAGCAAAAGTATTTAGATAGCTTTGAGCTCACTGCTTTATAACTGAAAACGTCACCCAGGGAGTGTTCACTTGCAAGTCAAACATAATTTTCTTAGTAAACCAACATTTGCATAATTTTAAATAACTCAGCAAACAATAACATGCGACTGAAGGTAAAATGCATTGGTCACTAAAGTATTGAACAACTGTATTTCAGACTGCGTAAACAATCTTCATTTAACAGACATTATATATATATATTTACCTCAATAACTCTTTCACTGCACTCTCTAAGTGTTGAATCGGTTGATGCACGGAAAGATTTTAAACGAGAAATCTGTTGTCTTCTGTGCTTGACAATCCACTGTAAAGGTACAATCACCTTCGTTTTAGTCTGTTGGACAACATTTTCTTGAAGCTACAAAATGAATACGATTAGTCTATGAATTATTAGAAAAAATATTATACATATGAAAAGTCAAACTGCAAGATTTCTCTTCTGTGAGAACTAAACGCCATAGGGAGCTTTTTTATGGGAGACTGTGTAATAACTCAACAAAATTACAAACGCTGTTTGATGGGCATACGAAACACCGATGAAGACCAATAACGCTTCAGTCTTTATCCTGAGACGTTACCCGTTCAGTTTACAAGTATTTTTACACTAATTACCTTCCCAATTTTCATCGAATCTGTTATATAACTAACATATCTAAAAAGATTTGATGTAGAAAATAAGGATGGTTCATTTAAGTGATTGTTCATGTTAATATCTCCATCCTTAGAATTTTTGTAGTAGAATGGGTGTGATATGGCCAGATTATACACTTCTGCTCAACTGATTAATTTGTCCCCATCAACTTAAATGTTTGGCCAATATATGAAATAATTTCAATCTCAAAGCCTAGTATATATACTAGATTTAAACACAACTATTACTAATTGAGTCTTTTAACAAATGAATTCTTTAAATTTGCACTTTATCAACTAATTTTGTTCCTTATATTTGCAGTAGATAGTTTTCGTTGCCTCTGATTCACTATAATCATAATGGAGAACACTACATACTCATCGAAATGCCTTGAATATTTTATCCATAACTGCGAAATATAATAAATATTTTCAACTAGAAATAAGTGAATATAATATCACTGTGGCTGAATTTGACGAAAACTTTCTTTTACTATAAAGCACTTAGTTTTCGAGCAAAAAAATTCACATAATATTATTTGTTTTCATAAAACTTTTATATTAAATAGATAGTATATGAAGCATAGTAAATAACTGAATAAAATGAAGACTATTGTAATTTTCAGGTTTGATCACGGATTGATGTCAGTCAGAGAACCAATGAAAACCAGGTAATACTGAACAGCTGCTTCGTTCTAGTTAAGAGCGTTACAACAGTACGTACCCACAACCCAACCGGTGATGAAATGCGGGACCCTCAGGCTACAATGCCAAGCTCGTTGGTTATTCAGCTACTTGTGCTGGGATCCAATCGAACATTAGTTCTAACTTCTGTCACTGTCACCGGTAAGTGTTTACACTCACATCCGACCTGGTAGACCCCACTGATTACGACGTCTTATTAGCTCTCCAGGCAGCTTCAGCAAACGCTCGCCATTGGCTGTTAGTCACGCTAAGAATTGCCAACTGACAGAAGTTGGAGTTCATGTGCCATTGTGTTCTGGCTTAAGTGTCCGGATAACCTGGTAACCCCAGGGTCTTGGGTTCGATCCCCAGTGGACTCGCTGTTAGCCCTTTAAAAATCCAGTTTTTATGAGGAAAGTGAATCTTGTAAGGCAAACGCTTTGAACTTTTGAGCTCAATACTGAAAATATAACAGCTTATATTCAATTCTGATTATAAACAGTACCTTTTTTATAATGTAAAACTAACCTCAGCTTCATTTCCAACTTTTTCAATAAACTTCTCCCAAATGTCATGAAATATTCCATTAGTATCATCATTTCTAAAAATGAGTAATTTAGGATTTGAAATAATTAGATTATTTTTGTTCGAAAATGCATTAAAATTTAAAATCGAATTATACTGTTGGTAAATATGTTCAGACAGGAGATTTACGTCAGTCAAGTTAAATGTAGTCAAAATAAATGAAACAAAATCTAAACGGGATTGTAGGAAATGTGAATTAGAATGCTGAAATGTTTAAGTATCCATATCGACTGAAATGATGTATTTCATAATTCATAAGATGTCAATTTGCTATTATTCATACTATCTTTAGTATAGGTATCCCCTTACACAGCTGATATCACGAAATTCTTAGACAGACATGAAATGAAACCGGATTTCTCGAAGTTATCTAAAGAGGTATTAAGACTTCTGTAATTTCAGATTTAAATTATGAATAGATTTAATTTATTTTTTATTTTTATTATAGCTTGATTCCACAAAGTATGAAATTTTACGCAATGTGATATCGGTAGCCCAAATTTAGTAGACCAGCCATTGATATCCGGTGTGCATCGGCCGGGGATCGAACCCCAGACCAGTTGCATGGTTGGAGAGCGTCCTAACCGCTGTGCCACCGACACGCTTCGTTAATAGTTGTAACTACATTATTAATGTAATCATATACAGCAGAAAGATAATGGTAATTTGCTTGTGTACTAAATCATGCTATCCATAGCTTCAACCTATGATGACGTAAATATCAATAAAATATGTTATCAAAAAATAAACAGAAAATGTGAAACCCTCTAAATGTATAGCGAACAACCATCTAACCGGTTTTTTGCTACGATTATTTCTGGAGACCGTAAATTTATGTAATATACTCAGACGTGATCACTGAGTAAAAAGAAGTGGGTTGTGGTCATATGGCGCTGAGACACTACTATAACCGTACTATCATCTAGGCTTATGGTTTTATCTTCAAACAATTATAACTTGTTAAGTGATGTTAAAGTGGTGTTCAAATACGCTTTGACAGTTAAGAAATTTGCATAGCTAGAAAATTCATTCTCAGCATACAAATATTCTGTTTGTATCAAAGTTGAGTACGTTATCCACTGCAAAATTTGAAAGAACACCAATGTTGTTGAGAGTCAAAGTACTAATTCCCTTCACTATAATTGCTGTCCAGTACAATGTGGATTTATCTCGGGGCTACAATATTAGCAGCAGCTAATGAGACTTTAAACTAGTACAAAAGGCAGATGATTACAATGTCGTTCAAACATCCGCAAGCTGTTTTGATCATATTTTGATGACAAATGGTTATGGCTTCATTCATATGCTCATTTCAGTGCCATCATAAACATCATTTACACAGAACTCATCAGTACATAGTCTTTCTGTCTGATTTAAATTCCTGATTAACTTCCTAGGTCATATTGTGGTGAGAGCTGGCTGCGAACAAGCCAAAATTGTAAACAACAATTTACGTCAGTGTTACGTCCGGAATCAGGGTCATGAGAAAAACGACAACAAAGCTTCACCTTGAGGAACTCACCAACCAATCACAGTGGACTTAACGTGTGCAAATAGGATTTGCAGATATATAGCTTAACTTTCTGAGAAACGGTCACAAGCAGTACAGAATAACCTTCAGCAAGAAAACAACTAATCAGAAGGCATTGCTTTTCCTCTGACAATAATGTACATAAAATTCTATAAATATCTCTTGATTTTCTAAATAAATAATCTGTTGTTTGGCTCTTGTCTTCTGTTGTTACAATATCAACGAAAGTATTGATATGTTACATACTGATGTGTTCGGTGATACATTGCTTCAGCATAAAAAAGTGCAGTGGAAAAACGGAATAAAATGTTTACATAACAAACTCACTGTGTATCATCTACATTATCACTGCCTTCAGAGAAATTAGTGCAGATTTCCTTCAACGCCGTAGAATAAGACTGCCTTACATCAGCCATATGTTCCATCATAGTAACAACTTTAAATTTAAAGAAATTAGCGAAAACAAATTATTACTTGAATGATATTATTCTTTAGGAGGTGGAAAATAAGGGAAAAAATAAAGTCTACTCCAACAAAATTGATAAGTTTGTTCTCAAGGTGGCTGCTAACATTTAAGAACTGCTTGTATTAAATAAATAAATAAATTTATAACTGCTAAATAGTAACGGATTGCCTCATGGTTATTATTATATTTTCATAAATGTTTATTCAGTCTAATGACCCCTTAATATTCACGTTCAAATACAAAATAATAATGACAAGGGACAATAATATCAACAGATGAGGTTAAATATATTTTCTGAAATAGCCTTAAACAACATACTGCCTTTGATATGCATGGAAAATTTATCTTGAAGCACTGATTTCAGGATACTTTTAAAGGAAGTTGTTCACGTTTCGTTTCTAAAACCCGAGTTATATAATCCCAAAGTATTTCAGTTAGGTAGAATTTATGTCTTTCTTTATAAGCAGATCTAGTAGCAGAGGTTAACAATTTGTGTTAGCGTAAGCAGATTGTCTATGATGCACGACATAGACGTACAGCCCGATTTTACACGATTCGAACCCAGTACCTCCATTGCTTATATACCTGAAATTAGTTTATCTGTGCATAATTGTAATGTAAGTATAAGGTAAAAGAACTTCTACCTTAGTAGTGGCTTGAAGCCAATGAGGCTGCAAAAGTATTATTATTATTTTTTCCTCCACGTTCCCCAGTGGAACATAGGGCTTCAGACTTGTGGCTTGAAGTGTTTATTTTACAGGATGGGGTTGCTAGCCTCATGCCCAACCTTTCCCCTTCACCAGCATTATTTATGGCTCAACGAGGTAAAGAAGTGCATCGGCAGGGGATCAAACCTCGGACCATGTGGATGGTCGTCGAGCGTCCTAGCCGCTATGCCACCGAAGCTGATGCTTCAGAATACCCTTTTTCTAATTTTATTATTTATTTAAGCTCCAAATCGAAAAAAAATGGCAATGGTTGGTGGTCGCGCTAAATCACGAATTGGCAGAAGTTAGAATTCATGGGTCACTGAATCGGGTCCCAGTGGCTGCATGGTATACGAGCCTGCCTTGTAACCGGAATGTCCTAGGTTCATACCTGGGTGGTGGGTGTGTACTACCGATGACTTCCAAACTAGGATGAAACAACTGTCCAGTAATCATCGGTTTTCAATGATTCTCTAAGTGACATCAATCCGTGATCAACTCGCAAGAACATGGCATCAACAACACGTTTTCATTCCACTCTGTCCTCTACAGTTCTCTCTAGATAGCTCCACGATTATCTATAGGTTCCTGTCTTCTCCTCAAACTAACTCATCCATAACACGCTTGGACAGGTGCCCAACTAGTCATTATCCATTTGGGTTTCACTCGTGGCCCCAGACACCATTGTCACCCAATGGTCTCCACAACGTATATCCAATCTATCTCCATTTTCTTCCACATGTTTGTTGAATGATACCTTTTTGATTCGTTTATTGCTAGAGTTCCTTGCTGCTTAACCTTTCTAACCAACTGGTTTTCGGTACCTAACCGGGGAAGGCAGCTGTGGATGAAAGTCTGCAATTTTATGGAAATGCCTCTCATGACCTAACAAGTGTCTAAATCATACTGGATAAATCATGGATGTTATTTCCAAAAGTCATTTCCATTCATTAATGCACTTTCTTGCGTACGGAGCATTAATTCCTCTGTGTAAGTAACCACCTATGATTCTAAATTTAAAACCTGAAAGAACGATTCAGATTTAATAAAATAGTCCAACATATGGCTAAAATTTGCATACGGTGACTGATATATATTCCCTATGTTTATTTAGTCCAGGTATTGTAGGTATAAATGCTTATTACTACTACTTGTATAGTGAAATGCTGATTAAGGCCATATATTTGTGTAATGCATTCAAACGTTTACTGTACAATAACAAAAAACATAATAAATAAGTCTAACATACATTTATCAATAATGTCCAACTGCTTTGTTACTGTCTCTATCATCAAAGGATAGTAGCTTTGATGTGAAAGAAACTGAAATCCTGCAGTCTGCATAAAATGACTTTCATCTGATGTTTTGCATATTGTAACAGAGGTGGACTGAGAACGTTTATGCTGATAAAAATAAATCAATAAACAGTAGATTAGTTATGTCGTGAACACTTTTTGTATCAGTGAATACAAATCTATTTGATGTGACTATAAGCATAAAATAAGCCTATACTTGAGAATACTTTCTCGTGATGCATTCTGTGTACTGTGATTTTAGAAAGATTAAATACGGAAACTCGTCTTGTAACAGGCGGTCAGTAGTTTTCAAACGGACGCAGACTAATTGATTTCTTCATTTTAGTAATGTTCGTGTTTGCTTACGAAGTGCAAATACTAAAGTTTTTCTGTTGAAAGAAGCCTGCAAGTATTTGTAAATTCCATCAGTTAAAGTATGACCTCAAGGTTCAGTTTAAGACCTTATAAAACACATCTTTAATTTGAAATACGTCATGTTACACACTTTAGCACATATAGTCAATAACCGACTGCAGCGTTCATAGACGAGTTACGAGTAGATGGTCTAGATGGCTTCATATTACTTACAAAACGAACTTTGTAAGCAAACTGTCTAAAGTAAATAGTGTTATATAACCATTTTAATAAAAATTTCAAATTAGCATAAAACGTCACAGTCTTTTAGTACCAAGACAAGTAATACATTATTAATCTAGGGATTCAGCAGCACATCTCCATTCCACCCTATTCGCCGCAATCCTTATTAGCTGACTCCACAATTGCTCACAAGCTGTCATATTCTTCATGTCATCCTCGGACGCCCAGCTCGCCACTTCCTCCCACTGGAAAGCCCGGCGCGCGATGTCAATCAACGGTTTCCTCAGCGTCTCTCCGATCTATATTAATTTTCTTCTGCATATCTGTTGAGCGATGGGTTTCCATCTGGTTGGTTGCCTTATACTGATAACGCGTATCTATATTGTTACCTAACAGAATGAAGCATATGAATACATTTTAGTGACCCTACTGGTTAAAAGTGAGTACAAATATATTAGTTATAATGACTGATAGTATTTTACAAATCTTTCAATCTTCAAAAGAAGAAGAATGGTCACGATAAGGCTTTAGACAAGGTACAATATAAAATATTTTATTATTTCCTGAAACGCTTTCTATAAGATTTACTAACAAAATTCAAATAATCACGAAAAGCTTTTTAGCGGAGGCCATTATAAATCAATTCTTTTCTTGAATAAGCCACGGCCTACACAGCCAAACGTTCAGACAAATAAAATAGTGATAATTTCATAATTATTCACCCACAACATTGATAACTTCCCTGGTCTTGATACTTATATGCTTGTCGTCAGATAGGCAAACATTTTAAAAACATGGTAGAGGCGTAAATCAAGCTTACATTAAATGATTTTATAAGATTTAAACAATGAGTAAACAGTATTCATTATTTTAAGGTTTGTACTTCCGGATGAGTGAAAACCAAAATCAGATTTTTCCCCTAGTGAGATCATAGATGTACAGAGCTGAAAAGTCTTAAACTGTAGTGTGATTCCTGTTTAGTGATTGTTCGTTTTCAATAAAACACAATCCATAATGAAATCTTCATCTGAATTAGTCAGACTCCTAAAAAACTCAATATCTAAATACTCACCTCTTGCACAACACCTACCGGTTTCAGAATAGAAAATCGTGCCCAACAAAACCACCAAATCTGGTGTTATTATGAATGCGCACAAGTGAATGTATCTGACCATGAAGCTATATTATGAACTGATGGAAGTTAGAAATCAGTATTCATTAGATTTTACTGATTTTTAAATAATAAACGCTGCAGATGTGCAGCCTGGAGGTGTGCAGTGTGATCAGTGACGTCATGAGTATGCTTCTGCAAGCAATCTCAAACATGGACGTTACAGCTATGTAATGTTCTTTTTCTGATTTTCAATTTTTTGAATTTATCTCTGTTGATGACAAAATCTACACTGACAGTTTTCAAGTCACATAACAAAAATCTGGATTGCATATTTGAACATCTGTAGGATTAATTTTGATTCTGATTGAGCATGAGCTCATTTTATCAATAATATTATTCTCTTGAGTTCCATTTAAAACACAGGCCCTCAACAACACATCTCCAATTTCTTCTATTTGCCGGTGTCCTCTTTAACTGGGTCCATCATTGTCCACAGTCTCTCATATCCTCCTCACACGATCTCCTCCATGTCATCCTAGAACGACCCACTCGTCATTTCCTCTTCAAAATCTGCTAAAGCAATGGCCCTCTGCGCAAAGTAATTGGACGGCCCCCTCAAAATATGCCCTATCCATCTCCATTTTCTCTTACATATTTTTGAGCAATCGGCTCTTAGTTGGTTTGTTGCCAGAGTTTCTTCTTCCTAATTCTTTCTGGCCGGATGGCAATTTGATCTTCAGTGTGGAGCCAGTGAAGGCAGCTGTTGATAAATGTCTGCAACAGGCTGTTGGAAATCCTTTTGTTGACAACCAATGCAAGTTTCTGACCTATATAAAGGAACTCACTGACTTCACATTTGTGTTGAAAATCCGAAAATTGTTCTTTATGCTGAGGCGGAGTGCAGAAGATTTCCGAATTGGTTTCAGGCTGATGAAGGTGTATCTTGCCTTTCCGATTCTGACTCTGACATATTCATCCTTTCCGCCTGTAGTTGAAAAGGTGTTCTCTAGATAAGTAAAGGAGGCAACCTCTGTTAGATCTCTCCCGTTGACAGTGATTGCTGCTGGTTGTTGTTGCTACTGTTTGTTTATCTTCATCATCTCAGTCTTCTCTATGTTCACCTGAAGTCCTTTTTTTTGCTGCCTCTTCAACCAGTCTGTTCGTTTTCGCCTGCAAGTCATCGAGTTTGTGCAACATTAAACACAAATCATCTGCGAAATCCAAATCTCCTACAGTTTTCTAATCGCTCCAACGTATTCCTATCTTCTCACTCCTTGTGCTCAGTTTGACTCATGATCCAGTCCACCACAATTTAGAATATCATCGGTGATAGTAGGCAGCATGAGTTCATAAGAATAATGAATTCTCTAAAAGATGTCTGTTTGAGGAACCCTGACCTAATAAATGTCACTAAAGGCTCTTGAATGCAAATATGGCTATTAAACATGACTCCATCTGATTTAAATCTAAATCCACTGACCAATTTTTTCAACACATCAGCGATTGGCATTAAACTCAATACCAGATACAGATAAACTTATACTTGATACAATGTTTTTATACATTATTTTTGTATCTAACCACCTTACAACACAGAGTTGCTTATTCAGAAGACGACTAGTTAATTTACCATATTTTTAAACTTTGATCTTGTGAAAATTCCGCTTACAATTAACTTGACAGAGCTATTAGCACTGAATATCGATGCTTCAATAAAAACTTTGTACCTCACCATCGCCTGCCACTCATCAGTGCCACATTATAGCCAGTCAGAGGAAAGCATATTCTAAAGGGAACAGTATATCTCATTATGGTAAAAATAGCCTTTTCAAGCTAGGCGCAATGAAATCAATGTAACTTTCCACGAACTAACATTAACTTTTTCCAGTAAACAATGAAATCCACCAACTGCATTCATATACACTAGTCAAATTTATGTTTCAAATAATGTAGCCTGTCTTTTATCAATTGATCACAAAAGGTCTAAACATTTCTGGTTACAAAGAGGAAATAAAAGCCTCTAAATGAGAAAACATTATTAGTTTATTCATATGTTTTGACTAGCAAACACAATGCGTTCAGCAGTGTATTTCAACTAAAGCTGTTCCACAGAAGAATAACAATAATAATAAAACAAGTCTGAATAACTGTTTTATTTATCCCAAATATAATAAAGCTTTTCTTATCATTATGAAATATATTCACGCAACTAAAAGTTGAATTAAATCAGTTATACCTTATTCTTTTAGATATAATTTATTTTAACACTTACTAATATATCGAAAAATGGAATCAAACTCTTACGACCAATACTGATGCTGAGTCGTTGTAAATTCATTGGTGACACAGGCTTTTTATTCTCAGAAATCAAACTAAATCCACTCGGTCCTGAGTGTTCACTCATTCACCGTAAACAGTTATTATTACAGGTAATGAATGTTTTTCTGAAGAAACAATTGAATTTCTTGTATTGATGTTAAAATATGCAAAAATTCAATTGTATAGCGTTGAGATCCCCAACAATCTGTTTTGTAGAATTTACATTTGCAATATTAGCCTTTTCTCATAAATTTTCTGAAAAGAGAGAAAGAAAGAAGAATTTTCAATTTAATTTTTTTGTTAGAACTGCAATAAAATAAAGTACAGTATGAATGGACTGAGGAGTCAAATATACAAATAACTGGCAAAAATTTTATAGCATGTTTGACCATGTGTTAGCAATAATTATTCGTAAAGTCACCAAAATAATCATCAATTTTCTTTAAAATGTAGGCACGAAAGTCATTAATGAGCCTACATATTGCAAATCTGTAATAAATGCAAATCTTCACATATGTGAATTAAGGAAAAATTCATTATTTATGTAAAAATTTCAAAGTTAAAGGAACACTGATAAGACAATCTGTATAGTAAGCCATCATTTTTCAATTCTGATGCAATTTACCCCTCACTGAAATTGAAAAGAGTCTAGTTTCACTATGTGTGTCGAAGACGATCACTGGTAAAAATCTTTATTGTACCTCAGGAGGTCGTCAGTTATTCCAGGGCTTGATTATTTGCTTGATGATGATTGTCAGTGGAATCCAGAAGGAGGACGAGGAGGTACCATCAGTTTGCTACTCGTCAGATGCATGTATCTCAATCCCCAACGAGACCCACAACTAGTGTTTACCCACTTCAAATATCAATGTTTTATCATGTTAACCTCATGGAATCTGTATTAGGAGTCATATCTTAAGAAAGACAAAGGGTTTTTAAGTCCTGAAAACTTAATAAAAGAGAAACGCTAAATTCCAACAGTTTATTATTGAGCATTACTTTTACTAAATTCTAAAATGTACTTATCATCCATTCTAAAAGTAAGAAAAAAAATTTAGTAGAAGACTTTAAAAACACGAAGAAATATCATCTTTTTAGTACTCATTTGATAAAAATCAAAAGTCTGCGTAATCAGGTAGAACTAAATAAACCGAAAACTAAGAACATGCTGTAAATTATTCAAATAGATAGATAAAATTCCCTTTAATTCGATTTTAGATTTTCCCATCGAATGGTTGGACTGAAGTGCCCGGTCTCAGATTGACATGTCGGCCCTTTGTGCAGAAGCTTCGACTATGTCTGGTCATGTAACTTGAAGTGAATTGGTGGATGGTGACTAGCAGTGGAATTCAGGATGAGCATTTCGTCCTATTTGAGACTCGTCATCTAAATGTACCTGCATGCCCCAATCAGTGATGGTGTTCCCGACAAGGCTCAAACCAAGTGCCCGTGGTTTTGAACGCCAAAGCGTTATCCTTTAGACCACTTGGGTCACTAGAGCCACCTCTTGTGCATCAGGCCTTATTAATTTAATTGAATTTTGGATTTTACCGTAGATCAAAAACGAGCACTTCGGTGCAATCAGTCTACGGGAAAATCTAGAAGTGAATTAAATAATAAGACCCGATGCATAAGAGGTGGCTCTTGTAACTCAAGCGATCTAGTGGATAACGCTTTGGCGTTTGAAACCACGGGCTGTTCGTTCGAGAACATCATCATTAACTAGGGAATGCAGTTACAGCCAAATGGCGAGTCACAAATGGGACGAAATTCGTATCCTGGATTTCACCGCTAGTTACCATCCACCAAATAAAATCCAGGTTCAAATTAGTTAATAATTCATGTTAAGTATTTGCCTAACAGTTATATCATTCCTTCACGTTGTAAGTGGAGTGTAGGGGTTTAAGCTAGATCTCTAAAGTCCCGATAGCATTGGTTATATTGTTTACAAGGTTGTTAGCCACACGATCAACCTCCCCTTACTATCGGCTGAGTAAGGTTTAGAATTTTTTCGCCTGTGAATTGAACCCCGGATTCCATGCGTGGTTAGCGAGCATTCCACCGCTGAACCACCGATGAAATTATATTACTAGGAGTATCGAAATCATCGTTCAGTCTGTTTATCAAGTGTTATACAGCACTTCCCCTAAGATGACAATTTGATTCACTCTCAGAAATTAAAACGTGTACTGCAATTGTTTTTGTAAACTCACAGTGAACGTTTTCCCTACTAAAACAGAGCTATTCCTTAAGTTCACATACGTTTGTGCAGTTTGAAATTTTATTTCTGAAATGATAATAAGCAACTCCAAACAACCAACTTTGTGAATTCACAGCCAAAACTTCAATTTTGAATTTTAAGATTTCTTTGGAAGCAGCTCTTCATTATCCTTGTATGCCATCAGTGTATACAACCCTGTTTCTGTCAAGAAACTCATTTGTAATCACACCTATTTCACCCTTAACCAAGGATTGATAACAGTTAGAGAACCACTTACAACCAGAGAGTACTGAACGCCAGTTTCATCCTAGCTTGAAACTCATTGGCAGTAAGCATTCACAGTGGTTTATGCGCCATCGAGTCGGATTACAACGGCTGGATGATCTACAATCTTCCCTTGTAAACGGAAGGTCCTGTAATTTCTAAAGTCCCACTTGAGATAAACAAATTCTGTATGACTTTTTTCAAAAGACAAGACAAACCTTAACTGGAATGGTATGCATACACTTACATGCAATCACTCAAAAAGACGAGGTGGAGTAAAAGTATTAAAAAGTAATATAGCTAAGTAGAAAAAGAAAGAAAGGCTGATATGTGAACGTTTTCCTATCTAGTCAGAAACTGGCACGTGTAACAAGAGTGATGCAACACCAAAGCTGGATATTTGAAAGATTATATAGAAAGAAGAGGAGTAAGTGTAATTATAAAAGACAAGTTCTGAAGTCCTTTAATTACAGGGATTAGAATATGAGAGTTAAGTTGTTCTTTCGAAAATAACTAGTTAGTAACTTTATATGAATGTGTGTTATGCTGATAAAAACATTTTTAGATATGAATTTAAGAGATATATATTAACAAACATATGCTTTTTCATACTTTCCACTTTCCAACGAAGGATAAAACATTAAAAGACAACATCAAAGTGAATCCTAAACGAAATTGTAATCAGATTAACTACAAGTATCATCGGAAACTTGAAAAGTTACAGTCATAAATTGTAACAGTCAATCTGCAACTGCTGGATCAAGCTGAAGCTTAGGAGGCCCTTATATGTACCGCCATTTATCAGCAAAACGGATAATATCAAAGTCCAGCAATTAAGTTTAAATCAGTCCGACAATATTACCCGATGAAAAATAATCCATGATAGCTAATCCAGTTTAACCCACTCCACTGTGTAATTGGCGTAGTTTGCCATACATAGTTTGAAAAATAACATTTTGTATTTCAATTTTCCAGAAAAGTATGTAAATTTGACTAACAGAACAAATTTGCAGTTTCATATGATGTGACGCGTTTATCGCAAATATACAAGAAACTGAAAAGACTCTCTTTTAGAAGCTATTCTCGCTGACATTCTCATGGAATGTCCCGACCAGTAATGAATAAAAGCTGTAATCCGAGAAACGATTAATTTTTGCAAACACCGTATTAACATACTTGTCATTTATTATAATATGAACTATGTACCTTAATTGTCTTGTATTTTTAAAGAAATACACCCTAACATAAAAATGACCATGGTAAACATAAGCACCGCAGGAAGTTCAACTCCTTTAATTTAACCGTGATAACGAGAAATTATGGTACGATTGAAAAAAAAGTAAGAGAACCTCAACAGGACAGTAAGTGCAATGCGGTAACTTTTGTCCACTCATCTATAAGCTTGAACTGGTAAGGGTACATTAAAACAAAACTAAGAAGCTAAGCTCAAAAACACTGTAACAGGAATTATATGGGACCGTTGAAAGACGTCTCGGAGAGAACAGATATTCCAAGAGATTCATAATTAAGTCCTGAATAGAACAAATCGCAAACATTGGATAGCCACCTAATGAAAAGAGAACATTATTCATTTTTCAATAGAAAGGGAGATAAAATATTAGAAAATCGAAAGCAGGATCAAAGTGAAAGTGAAAGAATTTTCCAGCAGCCAAAAACTGTATCTGAATATAAATACACACGCAGAATTAACCATTCCATTTTGATTAAATACCCTGTTGATGCTCCCATCAATTAGGTCTATAAATTTTCATCTACTGAACGTCGTCTGATTTTGTGAGTAATTCGGAGAATATGCAGACGTTCCTTTAACTTCTGTTATTCTTTTATAATATAAAATGTTTTCAAGAGTGTCTGTAGGGATTTGAATTTTTTAAATTTGACCACGGACTTACATTCTTTAGAGGACCATTGAAAACCAAGTAGGAGTACTAGACGGTTGTTTCGCCTCATTTCAGGACTCATCGCCAGTACGCACCCACCAAGGTAGGAATCTAGGACCTTCCAGTTAAAAAGCAAGTTCGTAGACCAAATTGGTAGCAGTTAGAATTCATGGGCCACCGAGTTGGGTTTCAGTGGCTGGTTGGTCTACAAGCTTCCCTCGTAAAGGGAAGGTCCTGGATTCCTACCCGGATGGTTGCGTACTGGCGATGAGTTCCAAAATTAAAAAAACAGCTGTCTAGTACTGCTACCTGGTTTTCAATGGTTCTTCACCTGGCATCAATCCGTGTTCAAACTTGGAAAATATTAAATATATCGAAAACACATGAAATCGATTTGAGTAAAACGTTTCCAACGGGAATCACGTACACAGACGGTGTGACCACCGTTTAATTGGTAACTATATCTTGATCTTTTGCGTGAATTAAATGAATAGTAATTAATTTCATTGATTTCAACGTTTAAGACTCTTCTTTTTCACCTCAATGAATAATCTTCTATGTCTGTGTTAATTATTTCTCTACTATCCCATCTAACTGATGACAAAGGGAAACAAATGTTTATGACACAATACATTCTATTGCATTTTTACAATCAAGACCGTTTTCATGCCTTGCAAATAGTACATGAGTACATTGACG